TACTACCCACCTTGTTACTTGTTGGAACAATAAAATGAAATGAGTTGTTTACAACAGGTGAATGAACTATCTATTATTGATGTATAATTAGTGTACATGACTTGCAGCAATTATCTGCTAAGATTTACAGGAGAATATGAAGGACTATCTACATGATTGTTGGCTAAGGCTGAGGAAGCAGTTTTTCTCCTTTGTAATATATATAGTAGCATTGTGTAAGATATGGTTGCTATATCTTAATACAAGAAAAATACACATCAGGACAAAGTATTAGTGATTAGGGGTTTTAAAAAGCAAGTACTTTTAGTAATGGATAAGAGACATAATACAACTCCTCAAAAGACATATTTCATCAAAATTAATATCTTTGTGATAAAGTTATGTTGTTTTTATTTCTAAAATGAGAATAATAACTGCCTTGCTTTCATTATATAAGTGCAATTTATCTGATACTTGAAAGTTTTATGTAAGTTGGAGCTCCTTTTATTATTTTCCTTTATAATGTATATTCTTTTGGATCTATATTATATGAACAAATATCAAAAATTTCTACTGAAAATAAAAATATCCTATAAAGACATTCCCTAAGCTTGAATCTGAATTGATTCAAAAATTAATGATTTTATGGTGATTAAAAAACTAATAATTAGGAGAGAATAGTTAGTGCTTGTTTTATTGAAGTCTGTATACATTTTCTATACTCATAAAAGGATAAATGAGATCTGAAAATTACTTATGATTTGAGAATTGAAAATTCAAAGCAGCAATCAGTAAAATTCTCAAAATTGGAAACTTTAAGATAGTGTTCTAATTAAATAGACTACTTTGAAACTTAAAACATATCATTGAGCAAAAATAATCACATTTCAATCCAAGGGACTTTATAAAGTAATCGTCTTTGAGGAATTTGCACATGAGATTGTTTCTGAGAATGTAGCCACATGATTGTATTTAACTGAAAGATGAGTCTGTTTCCTTCAGTTAAGCCTTCAATTAAAATGTAATTTCATAGTTATTAAACTCAGAAACCTAGAACAATCCTCTAAATCTGATTCTTTCCAATGACCTGCCTAAAGAACATGAGTAATTATAAAATTTTCCAGATCTTGTTGACGTTTCTGATTTCACTCCTGTCATTTACTCCTGCAGCCCATAAGGCTGGATATGAATTTTAAAGGGATGCAAGCCACACAGGATTAGAATATTGGGAATGGGATTTCAGCAGCGGAACATCCAATAATAAGAAAAACGACAGTAAATAAAATATAGAACTTCTCTTTCTTTTTGAAAATTATCGCCTATTCCAAGTAGTACCTTTTAACATCTAAGAACATATTTTAAAATATTTCATATATCAATTTTCAAGGTAATAAATTTTATTCTTGTGACTATTAAAATTATTTGCAAATATTTATAAATAGTTTTTTTAATTGAATACAAATAATTATACATATCAAAACTTAGGATACAGGAAAGAAAGTGCATTTGTGTGTGTTCACACATGCACTATGTAAAAACAAAAACATTTTTGGAAGTGGGTAGTACTGGGGTGCTCTAGTATTGAGTTACATTCCCAGACCATCTTATTTTTTGAGACAGGATGTCAATAAGTTAATGAGGCTGGTCTCAAACTTGTGATTCTTCTTCCTCATCCTCTTAAGTCAAGGGAATAACAAGGCCTGCACCACTACACTTAGATGAAAAATATACTTTAAAAATAATTGTTAAAATGAATGTTAATACTATGTATAACTAATATTATATATAAGTAATATTTTTTAATTATAACAAAATCTTATACTTCAATTTACTTTATGTGTCATGCTTATATCTGTTCTAGTACAAAATACATTAAAACTTTAATTATAAATGTGATTGACACTAAAAAAACATTAAAAGAGGAAAAGAAAAAGAAATGAAAATTCTCATGTGAAGTTTCTCACTACCTCCCATGGAAAATTCTGGTTCCAGAACCATCAAACAATAATTTGTAAACTTGCACACAGAATCTACCTTGACAACCAATATGAGACAAACAGAGCTCCATGCAAGGTACAACAGGAGGTAAGAGGCAGTCCTATAATCTCTGTTTCAGCTATAGTGGCCCTTGATTTTACATATAAGGCTTCTATATAAATATACATAAAAATATTCCACAGGAAAAAAACTGAAAAAAATCATTGATAGAATATCTTGTTGGCATTTATAAGTTAATGGATTTAAGGAAGAAGGGAGAAACTTCTTAAATATTGGACATCAAAGCAAACCCAATCATAAAATTTTCTAACATATTAACAACATTCGAGTTGATCTCTATTTTCTTCAACCCTGTCATACTGGGTGGAAGAGTGTCATGAGATTCAGAGGATTGATGAAAATAAAATTGAACTCAAAACTTTTATACGTTCAGCCAGGATTTTGTTTTTCCAGTGTGAATGCAATAGACATATATAAAGTGATGGGATTATTATTTTGTGGATGTATCCAAAAAATAATGAGTGATAGACTACTAGAAGAAAGTACAAAAGGCAGTAGTATTTTTTTAATTGAAAAAAAACAAAAAACAATCACATAGCTTAGCATGATCCGAAGACAGGTTACAATAGTTATTACTCTAATTTCAAATGCTGAAACAATTACTGAAAAAAGTGACACACATAAAGGTCAATAAAAAAAGCACATATCACTATGATCTAAATCCCATCTAATTCCAAAAAATACTTAGATATTGTGAGTGGGATTATAAAGAAGTTAAATAATGTTTAATTCTCATGTAACACAGGAAACTACATATGCACAATCTCTTGTTTCTAATAGAGAAAAAAATTATAAAATCATGCTAACAAAAGGGAGAATCTTTCAAAAAATAGAAGGCAGATCTATAGAGCAGAAGAAGAGAACAATGGGGAAGGGCAGGAAAGGGGAAGAACTGAGGGATGGAGTTGACTAAATTAGGCTCCCTGTATGTATAAATATATCACAATGAATTACAATGTATATATGACTAGAATGCAGCACTTAAATGATAATAGAAGGAAGATCAAAAAAGTAGAAAGAGATCCTGAGGAGGGAAGAGAGGAGGGAGGGAAACAGCACCGAGGGTTGACACTGAGAAAAGTACATATGTATTTATAGATGTATCAAAATGAACGTCCCTATTGTGTATAACTAGAATGAATAGAAAGAAGAACTATTTGAAAAAGGCAGATAAAAAAATCTTAAAAGAATTGATAGTATGAAAACAGCATGTACCTTTAAACATTAAAATTGAGAAACAAGGATAGGGGATACAGTCCAGTACTAGAGCTCTTGCCTACTTTACAGGAGGCCCTGGCTTCAATCCCCAACCCCACGGGGAAGAGAGAGAGAAAAAGAGAGAGAATTGTGAATAATGTGAATAAAGTAATTTGATAAAACATGGAATTTATGTAACAAAAAAAAAATTTACACGTATTTAAAGCGTTCCTTTAAAAAAATAAGCTCAGAGTGAATCTACAAATAAAAGCTAATTTATAAAGTCCCATTTGTTAATCCTTTGTGTCTTAATGAATTTGAATTGTAATTAATAATAAATGCTTACATGCACTTAACTTGAGAACTTAAATAAATTAACTTATTTTATCCTCAGATGATCTTTCCTAATCAGCCTCATTTTATGTAATAAGAAAATCCTTGCCAAGAAAGTTGACGGATTTTACCAGGGAAATATTGTTGTTAAGGTTTAGACTTGAATTCAGGCAATCTGACTCCAGGACTCAGCAATTCTGGATATACTCTGGGCGCTTGATATATTCTACAGCCCCCACATTATGGACAACATAAGAAACATATTTGTAAAAACCTCAAGTGATTCTTTCCCTTTATTCTTTACTTATATCTGAAGGCATGGTCCAAGGTGCATGAGGGGGTCAGAGGAAAATTTGAGAATGGCTAACACTGAAGCACAGGCCATGACTGAGTCAAGCCCCTGTCTCCTGCATCACTGCTTCTCCTCATGGAAGACCAAGCTGCCTTAGCAGAAAGCCTGTGGAATCCTCAGCCTGTGGAATCAGTGCTAGAATATGGAATGTCACTGAACAGGCCTTCTCCCTGGGCCTTCGCATACGCCCTCCCTTCCTCACCATGAAGCCTTCTCAGCTAAGCCTTCTGGTCACTGGTTTTCTATTTCTTTAGTTCTCCTTCTCCTTCTCCTTCTTTTTTTTCCTCGACAACACTCATTTTATGTTGGGCCCATAAACTACTGGAATGTGGGTTCTTTGTCCTATACCCTAGGGTAGGCAAAGAGGGACAGAGACAGACTGACAGGCATGGCAAGAAGGCGTAAGGACTGCAGAGTGTAAACTCTACAAAATCCCTTTGCCAGTTTGGATGTTTGTATAAAAAGATTGTTTTATGTGAGTGTAATATATAGCTGCATTGTTTCAATTTCTAAAGAATGTATCAATATATTTTTGAGAGAGAGAGAGAGAATTTTTTAATATTTATTTTTTAGTTTTCGGTGGACACAACATCTTTGTTTGTATGTGGTGCTGAGGATCGAACCCAGGCCGCACGCATGCCAGGCAAGCGCACTACCGCTTGAGCCACATCCCCAGCCCTGTATCAATATATTTTATAAGTTACTGGTTGTCCACTATGAAGGTAGAATCATTTATTGGACAATAGATGTGAAGGAAGTCTCTGTGGATGCAGATATCCCTACAAAGAGTCACATAGTGAAGCTACATGAACAAACTGTTCATTCAAATTAGGCTTCTTTTACATAAATCAGCTTGCCACAGTACCCCCACATCAGCATCCCTAGTTCAGGAAATCAAACCCATGGCTTTGCACAGGCTAGGCAAGTGTTCTATCACTGAGCTACATCCCTAGGCCTTTCACAGACTTCTATAAGATTTGAAAATGAGACAGTGCTGCACTTGCTCCTATTTTTCAAATATGAGATATATAAATAGGCATGAGCACAGTATTCCAACAGTCATTCACATTCTTTTACTTACAGCCCTCATAGATGTCAGTGGGAATATGGACTGCTGCATGCTGATAGGATATTTGTCGTCCAAAATTAGCATCATCGATAAAAACAGGTTTAATCCTCTGGCTGCCTGGCTCACTATCATTTTTTTCAGGCTACAAAGGAAAAGATAGATAATAAATAATTTTATAATTTATGCTAACATAGATATTTTCATATTTACTTTTCATTTGGTAAATATTTATTCTACAAAACACAAAAGATCCACAAGAATATTTTTTAAAATATTTATTTTTTAGTTTTAGTTGGACACAATATCTTTATTTTATTTATTTATATGTTGTGATGTGGATCGAACCCAGGGCCTTGCACATGCTAAGCAAACACTCTACCATTGAGCCACAACCCCAGTCCCCACAAGAATATTTTTAAAGATAATTCCATGATGGCACTGGACACTCGAATTCCCATTCAAGTATTAACATTCACATTGCAACAAATTCACTGTATTTCTCCAATGTTGAAGTTATTTGGGAACCACTCAGACCTTTCTCACATAAGACATTAACATGCACATTTAAAGAAAAGGATAAGTCCCTTTAAATACAAGTATTAAAACCAACCACTTGAAATAAATTGCACAACTTATGGTACTAAATTTATATTGGTTACTTAAGGATAACTTGACTACAAACGGTACACATGACAGCAATCAGGCAGCAATGAAAGATTATTTTGTCAGATTCCCTTGATTTTTTCATGTTTTCCATGTGTCTCAATTTTTGTGTTAAAGAAGAAAGTATATTGAGAAAGAAGAGATCCACTATAAATCTAAACACAATTAAATCCTAAGTTCTGCCAATTTGTTTCCTAAGGTAGGAATTCAGATACAATCAATAATGATTCAAGCAAATTCCACAGGAGATTAAAGTCTAAGATTAATTTTCCATCTGCTGGAACTATGCTGGTGAGGCAGAATTACCTTGTTGCCACCCAGACCCTTGGCAATAAACTAGAAATTTTATTCATTTACTGAAAATACATCTGTAACTTTGTGTTCTATTTATAGTAAACACTATTTTTTCAGTTGAAATAGTCATTTTTAATTCTTCCTTAACTGAATATTTTAAAAAGTAAATTTAGGCCTGTTTTTTAGTTCCTTTACTATGGAGACTGATTTCTATATGTCAAAGGTAATTACCTCAAAAACAATTGAAAAAAAATTCACAACACTTGACCATAATATATCACACAAAAATCCAATTTGACAGGCATACAGCAATACTAAACAATAGAGAAAATTGAAAGAAATAACCTGAAAATGTCCTAACATAGTTTGCAGAAAATGGAAAGTCAGTAGTTCTACAAAGATGTAATGGTGTCCAACTTTTCATATCATATTGAAAGTTTAAATGACAGATAACACATTAGAGTCCTCAAATATTTGAAAACACACCCATGTCATTTTTTCCTTGGAAAACTAAACTCTAGAAATACTAGACAAAATTATGAGCGATAGAGTCCTTTTTATTTTTACCAATAGCTTTTGAAGTTCCAGGTAGAACCTATCACTAGGTCATAAAGTCAATTGTCAGATGTGACTAAGCTATTTTTGTAAATGAAACACTGAAAGAGAATATGAGCAAATACTCATAAGAAGAATTTTATTTTATATCACTCCTGGAATGATGATCAATGTGAGTGCAGCATGCACACAAAAGCATATGGGATTTGTGTTGTAAAACCTATCATTGGTACAAATTGTGAAAACAGAATATTGCTTTTATACAGGTGGAAGCCACAAATACAAATAATTGTTCTCTCATTAACAAACTGAATTTACAAAGTAATAAGACTGAATTTGAAAGTCTAAAATTTTGCAAAATGTCCACATTCAAGAATCACTAATTGCTAGGAGCAGTGTCTCATGCCTGTAATCCAACAGCTCAGGAAGCTACAGCAGGAGGATTGTGAGTTCCAAGCCAGCCTCCACAAAAGTGAGGCACTAAGTGACTCAGTGAGACCCTGTCTCTCTATAAAATACAAAATAAGGCTGGGGATATAGCTCAGTGGTCAAGGGCCCCTGAGTTCAATCCCTGGTAACAAAACAAACAAACAAAAAGAATTACTAATTATTCTCTTTTCTAAACAGAGGTCAGCTGTGTATAGCACAAAGGAGAAGAAAGGAAAGACAACAAAACAAAGAAATAGAATAAAATAATGTGCTGCCTAACTTACATAACACAATAGCCTTGATACAATGATTAATAGATAAAAGGAGAGTGATACCTGAGATTCTTATTCTTGGATTCAGTTATGTATTTTAAAACAGTTTAAAATTTATTCCATTTTGTATTCCTTGGAACTCTTGACTTGAATAATAAATAGAATGACACAATAAAACAAACCACCCACATTAATAACATAAACTCCAACTAATGAGTGATGGAACTATATGTTTCCTTTATAAGCATTATTCTAAATTAGTGAAAAAGTCACAACACTTATTTTAAAGTGCTAGTTTCTCAATGCACAGCCATTGGGAAAGCATCATTAGTATCCAGTGAATTTTATAGAATGCAGATTCTCAGGGCCCAACCCAGACCTAGTCCATCTCAAGGAGCAAAAGAGGCACCCAGCAATCTGTATTTTAGCAAGACTTCAAGGTGATGCTGCTGCACACTAATATTTGAAGTCCAGTGCTTCAAGATATGAACCACTAAAACTAGGTACATGTGATTATTTAGAACTCCTCATGATAAATTATTATTATTTGGAATAAGCATAATAATAGATGCCTAAATTATATTAATTTCTTCTTGTACAGTTTCATTATTTGTGGATAATAGATGACTGCAAATAGTAATATGGCAAATAATATTTGTGAAAGTGCGTTTGTTTGTTAGTTTGTTTATTTGGTTCCAGGGGTGTTTAACCACTAAGCAACATCCCCAGCCCTTTTTTTATATTTTATTTTGAGACAGGGTCCCTTTGAGTTACTTAGTGTCTAGCTAAATTGCTGAGGCTTGCTTTGAACTTGCAATCTTCCTGCCTCACTTCCTGAACCACTGTGATTACAGGTGTGCACCACCACAGCTGGCTCAAAGGGTGTTTCAAAAGACAAGTCTCTTGAATTTTTCCGAGGGATCAGCACCATCCTCAAATAAGCTGGGGAAGTTTTGCACATCATATTCTTCTATTAAGAGAATAATAAGCACATTAGTATATCCAAAGTTCTGAGGTATTCTGCACTAATGAAACTGTGTTTGACCTAATATTTTCAAGCTTATTTGACCCTCTCATTCTTTTTCTCTAATACCCATCATGAGGAACACACTTATGTGCAAAGGTACATTAGAACATATAGACAACAGGAGATCTGTCTTCACTCTGCTACATTAACAAAATATTGGACTTGGATCAGTCACTGTTCCTGGTAGAATAAGTTCTATTGGGCTATAGATAGATCCTTCACCTATGAGACTATCTGACACTTGGAAAGCATCGTCCCCAGCAATAAAGCAACATATCAAAGGGGAAATGTCTTTTGAAAGACTCTTCCAGTTGATTCTAATGAACTCTTCTAACATAAATTGAATGCCCAAACTGAAGGATCCATAAAGTAATTTTCAGTTCTGTAAAATTATACTCTTATGTCTAGAGTTCTGGGAAATATATTATTTGCAAGTGTATCTTCCCAAAAATCATATGTACATATATTTTTCATACATTCAGATACTTAGAATGTAAAAGGCTTATGAGATAGATAGTATATAAATAATACATTTATGAGTTAGTGTTAAAAAGGTAGATATGTGGCAAATATTTCATTCAGTCACTCACCCAGAAAATATTTATTGGGACAGAAGAGGAGAGTAAGATTTATCAATGTTCAGAGAAATGTTATTCAATATCTAAATCAGAAAACATTAAATGTTCAACAACAGTAAAGTGGTCATAATAATTATAATAGATACAATTCATCTTTTAATAAATAATATAAGATATATATGTATACATATATATATGAGAGTAATTACACTAGAAATGTACTCAAACTCTGTATTTGTTTAAAATGATTAATTTATGAAAGACATGTTAAACAAAAAGAAAAGGAAAGAGAGATACAGGAAGAAATGAATAATGTATATATGGTAAATGTTACTAATATTATTATTGGATTTGAGTTATAAGGAGTTATTTCTTTGTGCTATATTTTTTTAAATAATAATATTAGCATGAATTATATTTTTAGTGAGAAAAAAGCTATTGAATTTTAGTTTTAAATACTTTCTCTAATTATACAAAGTATTATATTGTTAAAATCCCTCTTAATTTCATGTGAATCTTTTTACTTTTGAAAATTAGCAGATTTAAATACATTTTATGGATATTCTTACACTTTTAGATTACCATATAAAGGAATTTTAGGAGAAACTTTACAATTAGGATTTATTTCTCAAAATATGTAATTATGCTTCAAAATTTACATTAAACTGTAGTTGCTTAATATATTAAAGAAAAATACAACTGTTTTTCATGGTTCACTCTTCTGTAGTCTAAATAAATCAAAATAAAAGTATTAAATGTTTAAATTCAACTCATTTATTTAAGCTTTTGAAATTATTGTTACTAATATTATCATAATCCACATCTTTAGTTATCTTGATATTATGGCAGGATATAGTTTAATTGAAATATAGCAAATATGAGGCACAAAGGAATGGGATGATATTCTGGAGAAAAAAAAAAACTACACTGTGTTAATTAAACATGTCAAATTATTCTGCTAAAACAAATATTTCTGTTTTTCAGATAACACAAAAATAACATCTCTTCTCAATGTTCTTTCAAAATATCTTAAGTCTGTAGACTATCACACATAAATATGCACAAAGAAACTGAACAAGTAGACTCTCAAATATATTTGAACATATTTGGCTAAAATACAGAAGTGAAACATGTGATGCAAGATTCACAGACTATTCTTCTCAATATAATTTGTTATTAAATAATAGACTAGATCACTTAGATATTGAGGTATTGGCTAATGTTGAATGGGTAGGTAATCCGATTTAATAAGCACTGCATATTAGCAAATCTAATTTGGATACTCACAATAATTTTATGCAGACTCAAAAGGCTCTTGCATACT